ACGGTACGTTAATATACTCAATTAAAATAGAAAAAAGCATATGTACAAGAATATCCATCAACAATAGAATAGACTAAAAAAAAAAAACTGTGGTAGATTTAGATGATGAAATAACACATCACAATGGAAAAGAGTGAACTGCCATTATACCCAACATGAATGAATCTCACACATAGAACGCTGACCAAAAGAAGCCTGACACAAAACAGCATATGCTATGATTCCATTTATATGAAGTTCAAGAACAGGCACATATTGAGGTATGGTGACAGAAGTTAGAACTGTGGTTTCCCTGGGGGGTTATGGGCAGGGGAACCACAGGGGAGCCTGCTGGTGGGCTGGAAATGTTCTGTATCTTAATCTGGGGGTAGGGAATTTACATGGATGCATACCTAAGTAAAAGGAATTGAAGTGTACACATCAGATTTATATTCTTTACCATATATAAGTTAGATCTTAATAAAAAAGAACATTAAATATTTATTTCAAAGAAATGACAGAAATGTAGCAAGGTTAATGCATCACATTTAAGATCATCAGAAAACCAGTATACCATTCCTAAGTTTCACTTAAAAAAGTTTTAGGATTTTCCTCATTTGCAAAATTGGAATAGTTCTATCTTACCAACCTCATACAGCAACTAAGAGAATTAGATAATGTATAAATATCTTTGCACTCCTATAAGAGAAGTCCCATGTCAATATAAGGTAATATTTGTGGAGCATTCCAAGATACCATTTTCACTTAAGTCATCTCTTAGAAATAGTACTTCCATTCTTTTAAAATACAATAACTAAAACCCATAAAGTAAATGAAAGAGGAACCTTGAGTTAGGCCAGCAACAAACTGATAAATTGATAATTGGTACTAAAGTAGAGCTGCCCATTCTTTCCATGACCCTTCTGATGGGCAATTATCATTCAACTGAAAAGTTCATCTTTATCCTCATGTTAAATCTTCCTGAAGGATTCTAGAATCTACCTAGGACAGGATACTCAATTCCAGAGACTCCAATCAAAGATTTATAAAGTTTCAAGCCCAATAATACCATCCTGCTTATCTCCTTTTTGAGAGTTATTTATAAAACAAACAAGGTTGCAATCATCTCTCTATATATAAATAGCGTGGTTCAAGTCACGTAGCTCCTCTAAATCAGAGCTGTCCAGTGTGGTAGGCACTAGCCGTATGCGGCTACTGAGCACTTGCAATTTGGCTAATCTGAATTGATCTGTCCTCTAAGTATAAGATACATACCATTTTCAAAATTTCATACAAAAAAGAACATAAAATATCTTACTAATATTTTCATATTGACTACATGTCAAAATGATAACATTTTTAATACACTGGGTTAAATAAGGTATATTACAATGAATTTAACTGGTTTATTTTTAGTTTTTTTAATGTGGCTAATAGAAAACTTTCAATTCTATACATGGCTTGCATTATATTTCTATTGGACTCCAGAGAGCTAAAGATGAAAATTTTCATAACGCTATTTCTCTCAAGACAGAATTTCCAAAAGAGTTTTAAGAATTAGGGTGAAAATTGCTTAAATGTTCTCTAGCCAAATTACCTTTGTCAACAATTAAAATCTATGTTGAATCTTTATAATCAACTGAGTTTTAGAATGGTGTATATTTGGCCCCCATGAAGTCACAGAATATTTAACCAGGTTTCCCTGAACTTTAATAATTTGTAAACCTGTAGTTCTAAAACTTTTCAGGGCTTTATGCTGTTGAGGCAAAGGAATAACCTTAATAGATCTCCAACATGACTTTCCAGGACACCCCAACACAAAAGCTACATTCAATTCACCAAAAATGATACTGCTATGAGCTGAATTGTGTTCTCCCAAATTCATATGTTGAAGCCCTAACCCCCAATATGACAGTATTTAGAGGTAGGGGCTTTGGGAGGTAATTAGGTGTAGATGAGGTCATGAGGATGGGGTGCTGACGATGGGATTAGTGTCCTTAAAGAAGAGGAAAGGATCAGAACTCTCTTTCTCTCTGTGATGTGAGGACACTGTGAGAAGGCAACCATCTACAAACCAGAAAGAGAGCTCTCACCAAGAACTGAGCCTGCCAGACCTTCATCTGGGACTTCTAGTCTTCAGAACTGGGAGAAAATAAATTTCGATTGTTTAAACCACCCAGTCTACTGTATTTTGTTATGGCAGCTCAAGCAACAAATACAGACACCCACTGCTTAAAGCAATCTCTTTTTTATTAAATATCATAATTAATCTTTACCTAAGGCTATTTATGAATACATACTTTTTGTTATATAAAGACATAGTGAGGGGCGCCTGGGTGGCTCAGTCAGCTAAGTGTCTGCCTTCGGCTCAGGTCATGAACCCAGGGTCCTGGGATCAAGCCCCACATTGGGCTCTCTGCTCAGCGGGGAGCCTGCTTCTCCCTCTCCCTCTGCTGCTCCCCCTGCTCGTGTGCTCACTCGCTCTCTGTCAAATAAATAAAATCTTAAAAAAAAAAAAAAAGATGTTCTACACATATGAAAAATTAAAAAATACATAGTGATTTGCACAATGTGAAAAATAAAAAGTATTTGTTGATTTTCTCTATGTGTTAATAGGACAGGTCTGACCTATGGCCTCTGTAGACCAACTCACTCATAGACCATCTACGTTGAGCCAGGTAAAAGGGTTGGGGAAAATTATTATTATCTAAAAACATTGTTACTTCAAAATATTTCATTCTTTATTATATAAAAAATATTTTCTTCTGTATGTGGAACTCGTATTTCTATTCTAACTGAAAATGCAAAGTTGTTCATCTCTCCCCTAGGGATTTGCTTCTTGGTGTGACACTTTCAGTGATTTCACCACAGTTTAAGCATAATAAAATCTCATTTTATGCTCCAAGGCAGGAAGGATCCTAAATATTCCTCAACCAGTATAGTGCATAACCTTGTGGCTCTGGGGATAGCATTTAAGTAAACATCACAAAAAAGAAAGGATCCCAGGCTAGGGAATAAAATAGTATGCTTGTTTCTTTAGAAACATTCAAAACATCATCAGATGTTTACTGCCTGGTTTTAAAGAAAGAAAGAGGGAGGAATGGAAGAGAACCAAGTAACATAGTGGATTTAATCCCTTTTTATCACTTTAGTCTCTTTTGCCACCTTTGAGAGCTCCAAGGGGTCTAAGTGACTCCCAGAAAACGATACAAAATTTTGTGTGTCCTACACATATTTTCTGGGAAAGGGACCCTGAGCTTTGAGCATAATCTCCAAGGAAACAGTGACCCAAAAAAGGCTAAGAACCTCTTGGTTAAGGTTTGCTTAAGGGAAGTGAATGGACATTTCTGCTCACACCTGGCCAGGTATAGAGCCTCCTCACTTGCCGCCTACCCCCTAAGACCTCAGAAAGCATACCAGGTCCTGCTTCCACTATTTGATTACCTTGTTCCTCGGTTTTGTTTCCTGGTGTGTGTATGTTAGCTGCCTCCAACTTCCCCCTTCCTAAATTGTCCTATTCTGTGTATCCCAGCGAAACAGAGTGGCTGTCTCCTCCTCTGAGGGCGACCCAGGGTGAAATGTATCACATTTACCAACATACCCTTTTCCCTTATTCCTCGCCACTCTTTTGGGGGCCACCTGAGTTTGCTACCGTGCTGAATGGGTTGTCCACCTCTTTACTCTCTTTGCATTTAGGTCTAGGAATGGTCAGTTTGGTGAGGTACTTTTAAGCATGTCCGGTTATAGTCCTGTACTGCCGTTCCCAGGTGGTGTAAAATTCTCTTCCATTCCCATCCTAAAGAGGTTGTGAGAAGGAAACAGCGTGCTCCAACCCCCCAGAGAAGAATATTACATAAAAGTAATAAAAGCATTCTGTTGCTGCCAATTATTTTGTCACTATTACACCACGCGGCAGAGTCCCCCGCACCTGCCTTGGCCATTTCTTCCCTAAGAGTCCGCAGAACTGACGCTGCACCCCTCACTCCTTCCACCCTCTCCAGGACCCACATTCCAAGCTGTCTCCTTGAATATAACTCCAGGTCTTCCTACAACCCTCTTTGTATTGAGGTAAAGAAAAATTGAAGCTCACTCTTTTCTATACTCTCCTCACCAGTAAATTCTCAAATCTCTTAGTTTCCTTGCAGAGCGCAGAGGGGCAAGTTGTGTGTGTGTGCGTGTTTTCTAAAACTTGCATGAGCCCGTGAGTGTGGCCCTCCGACATCCTGGATCTCAGGGCAAGGAGTGGGCTGGCCGGAGGGTCTCCGCCACCCAGCACTCCGTGTAACACGCTCGGCCCCGGGGGGCGGCGGCGACAGGCTGGCGAGCTCGGGGCGGAGAGCCGGGCCCTGAGCAGCAGCGCCCCGATCCCCCGACCCCCGCGTCCGGCCGGGCCCGCAGTCCCCGCGGGAAGGCCGGCTGGCCGGGCCGAGGGCGCTGCGCCGCGGCCTCCGGCTCCTCCTCAGGGCGCCGCGCGTCCAGGCCGGTGGGTGGCGGCGGTCCGGGCCCCCGGGGATGGCGGCGGCCGCGCTCCGCCAGCAGGTGGCCCCGGGGTCCCGGCGGCGCCGCCTCCTCCCCGGCGCCCCTCCTCCCGCGGGGGCGGTCAGCGCCCCGACCCGGCTCGCACCCCGCCGCCGCCGCCGCCGCCCTCGGCCCGCCCGCCTTCGGCCCGCCCGCCGCGTCCCCGGGGCCGCGCTCGCCGCCGCCGCCGCCGCGTCCGGAGCAGCGCCCAGGCCGGCCCGCGGCCAGCGCGCAGGGCGCCGGCAGCACCCGGCCCGCCGCGCCGCGCCCTCCCCGCCCCCAACTCGCTCCCCAACGGAAAGTTCGGCTCCGGCTGCGTGTGGCACAGAGACCGGGAACGAGAAGGGGTCGGGGGGCGTGCTGAGGGGACCGGGCGGCGGCGAGACGGGGGCAACTTCTCCGGGAAAGCGCCTCCTGCCGACCCCGCGAGCCGCAGCCCCCGAGTGGGCTCGAGGTGGTTTTTCCCTTGCCTTCGCCTCCCCCTGCGGATTCAAGACGCGGACCTTGGTCCTGGTGCTCCCCGCTGCCGGGTGGCAGGAGCCAGCGCCGCCGCCGCCGCCTCGGCCGCCGCTCCCTCCGCCCGCCGGCCGCCCCCGGCCGCAGCCCCTGCCTCCTGCCAGCACCATGGAGTTCTCCGAGAGGAAAAGGAGCAGGAAATCCCAGAGCTTCAAACTGGTGAGCCGAGGTAAGCGGCGGGCCGCGCCGGGCCGGGCGGGGGGCGTGCGGGCGGCGGAGGGAGGACTTGGCGCCGCGTAAACATCCCCGCGCCCGGCCCGCCGCCCCGCGCCCCGCGCCCCGCGCCGCGGCCGCGCGTCCACGCCGGGGGTCCGGGCCTCCGGGACCCCCGAATCTCCTCCCTCGGGGGCCGCGGCCGCAGACGCCGCGCGGCGGGGAAAGTTGTGCGGGGGGAGGCAGGATGTTATTCAGCGTAAACAAGTCGGAGGGCACATCAGGAAATTAGCAAACAATGACACTTGGGGAGCCGAGAGCCTCTTTGGTCTTCCACTCCGGTGGCTGGGCTGGGGGTTGGGGGAGACCTGCCTCTCCGGCAGGCCGTGCACACACGGATCCCGACCAATGGTTGTGGGTTTGCTTTTCTTCCCCCCAAACAGTAGCAGAAAAGGTGGTGGTTCTTTTAAGAACCAGAAAGAAGCTCATTAGGTGTACGAGGCCAAATGAGAATTGATGACCTCCGGCATCTTTTCTAGAGACGTTATTTGGGTTGGAAAGGTGTTTTGGAATAGATCCCTTATCGGTCAGAAAAGTATCCCTATTTAAAAAAAAAAAAAAAAAAAAAAAAATTCCAGCCCGTTCCTGACGATTTAACAGGTGTACACCGCGGTTTTCTGGCTTGGGTCTATTTTATCAGGGGAGGGGAAAGTTGAATCGCCTTGCCTGTGTTCAGTTACTTGTCAGAGGCTTTATTTTCCTTACTGGACTTTGTCAGAGACGATGAGAACTTAAGAGCAGACATTAAAATATGTCTCTTAAAATGCATTGTGTCACCTTAAATGAGAGGCAGGTGACTTTTTTCGTCCTAATGTCACAAATCCTGATACTGAGTTTAGAATCACGCTGTTTAAATATCTTCTTTGAGTCAACTAGAGGTCAAAACCAAACCACAGAACCTGTCCCTTTTCTTCTGTTTTATCTAGCGTTGGCATCAGAGAGCAAGGCGATTGTTTCAAAACCTGGGGAAGTCACATGTGAGGTGATGAAAATTAGAGGGGGATTCCAAGTAATAGAGCTTTTCAAACTAAGCTGAGCTAACTATGATGTAGATTCAATAAAGCCTGCTTTTGGCTAGCCTGAAAATGGTTTGACTATAGACATTTTGAAGATCTGCACATATCTGTTTCCCCTGATTTAGTTTGGATACTGTTTAATGAAAGAGGCCTGAAACAGTTTTACGTATTCAAAATATATGGCTCTTCCCTCTTTCTCTGTGTGGATTACTCAGTCATTTGTACTTTAAAAATCTTCCATACGTGACTGGCCTGTTGGTCTATTGATTCATTCAGGAATGTAGACTGCTTTCTTATTTATGACCTCAGGGAACTTAACTACTTTATCTGAAAAGTGAGAGTAGTTTTGTAGACCTTGTCCTGTCAGGTCTCCTGCCACAAAAAAGAGAATGGCTGTTAAGAAGGAACCTCTATTTTCTTACCTAGACGATCCTACTTTTTAGAAATAGACCATTGGCAAGCCCAGCAGCCTCCGTAGAGAATAAGGAAGCTCATAAAGTATTGTATTTTAAAGTTTGACTGACATAGCAAGTTTTTCATTTTCCTTTTCTTTAAATTATGGGTCTGATTCTTCTCTCTGCTCTGCAGGTGCATTTTTCGCAAATAAACTTGCATATTAAAGTGCAGTAGCTGAATGCAAAAGATTGTGTGAAAGACAAGAATCTTGCTTTCTTATCTAGACTATACTATATTTGAAATAACAAATCAGTATTTTTCGTGTGTGCTTTCCCGTAAACTGCTTAAAGGCTGGGATTTTGCTGGGTAAACTGAGAAAACTGAGTGTTGGATTGCCCTAAAGCATGCTATTGATATACTGTACTCATGGAAATGAGTTGTGGAGATAATTTTGGAATCACCCCCTGGCCTATGATTGGGCAGGGTTTTTCTCTCCCTTATAAACATACTTGTCATTTGAAAGCAAAAAGGCCTAGTAATTGGCATCTCTGGGCCAAATTTACTGTGAAAACCATGTGATCAGCAAAGCTGTTTTCTAAAGTCAAAGTAATATTTCAAGTTTGTGTACTTCTTCAGAGTAAGCAAAGTTTTAGGGATTATTAGTGACTACGAATTCGGTGGTTAATCGAGTTATTGGAAATTATATTTATAATTTATTTAAGTATAGATTCTACATCTTATATATAATGAGAGTCTAGTTGTTATTGTTTATTCATAACTTGCAGGTCATTAGAATTTTAATTTTTGGTTGTTTTCTCATCCCAGATTATCACCATGAGGTATATAAGATCTCAGAATTCAGCAACGATGTTAATGGGGAGGCCAAAGAGACCCAACCCATTTATTTAGGTAGGTTCCTGTGTCAATTAATTTCTCAGCAAAACAGTGTGGCCATTTGCAATTAGGGGGAAGGGGGAAAAAAAAAAAAAGATTGTGCCAGAACGGGAAATGTCTGCCATTGCTTAATGTATGACATTCTTTTCAAGACCTTTTATTTTACAGATTGCCAATATATCCCTTATTAACATTGCTAAAAGTTGTAATTTCAGACATAAATGTTTATTAGTGTCTACACACAGTGCTAATTATCACTCACTCCCAGAGCCAGCTGCTGACGGTGCAGGTTTGTCGCTCTGTGCTCACCCCATTTACATTGCATATTCGCTGGCATGCTTCACTAGCAATAGTCTGTGTAATTGGGATATTACATCTTTGACATCTGGATAACAGAAATTCAATTTCCAGGAAGCTGCTATTTGTTTGGTTTTGCTTCTGCCTTGGGTGGGACAGAGGATTAATATGCTGTCTTATTATAATGTCCCTTCACCTCTGTGGCCTGGTTGCTAATCCTGCCATGACAAAATTAAATCAAATCTACAGTCAAAAAGCGTAAGGAAAATCAAAGTGTGATTGTCCACCCAACCACCTCTTGAGGGTACTAGCTATCATTTTCCTGGCCTTGTGTGCATCTCCCCCCGATATCTGTGGGCAGAGAGACTAGCCATGCTTTGCTCTTACCCTCCTCATTCCCAGCTCACCTCAGGGACGGGCTGAGCAAAAGCAGTGTCTGGGAGACCATCCGACAAGGGTAGCTGCATGATGAATAAGGAGGTAGTCAGAAGCATTGCCAGTCTCTCCAAGTGCAGCTTTTGATACAAATGCCGTACATGAGGGATCTTGCATGTACAGTTTGTTATTTGCAGACCATGAACCCAAAATCAAACAACCTGCGATTTTGCCACTAAGAGTGAAGTACCCATAAAGTAGGAGAAGTAGGAGTAGAGAGTAAACAGTGGCATGTGGCTTCCACCTTGCCCATCCTGCACACTTCCCCACCCCCAGTAGTAGGGTGAGAGCTGGGTGCTGCGCGGCAAGGCAGCAGAAAGTGGGAGACAGGGCAGGAGTGATGAAAAGCAAGGGCCAGCTTTGCCAGCTCTCTGGGGAGTATCGAGGGCTGAAGGAAGTAGGATTGCTGCTCAGACCCAGTGTGCGTAGTACTGCAAATCCCAACAACATGAAAACCAGATGGTGGAGTACTCTGTCACCAGGATCTCTCTTTTTGGCTTTGAGGGAGAGAAATGGTGGGTTGCGAAGGACTGAGAAATCAAAACGGATACTTGATAGAGGTGAAACAGGAGGGAAGGCTCAGCATTCCTTACATAAGCGACCAGTGAAGGCACGTAGATCTTTGCATCCGAGCAGACTGTCACTGAGGCCGGCAACTATGCTCAGCACCTGTTTACGGTTAAGAGAACTAAAAACCAAAAAGTGAATCATCAAGTGAAATGCTACAACCCAGAAGGAGAACATTCTTGGATTGTACTCTCTTCAGTTCCTTAAACTGAATCAATTGGAATTCTGTAGTTTCAGTTCCCTAAACTTGATTGGTTGGAATTCTGTATCTAAATACCCCTCGTCTTAGTCATTGGAAATGAGGAATTTGCCTATTAGTAGAAAACTTACATTTATCATAAAAATGGAACATCATGTCCTTGGTTGAGTTATTCTTCAACAAAGCAGGCTTCGCCCCCCCCCCCCCCCGTTCTGCTGTATATTTGGAAAACAGTAAGGACGCTATACAGTGAGGTAATTCTGGGTATGACAGAGTAAGGGGATGAAGAACAGGAAGATGCTGGTGCTCAGAATTCAGTAAAATGCAAACTCTTGAAGGGGGCACACATTGCTGCTTTCAGTTTTCCCAGCTTGAGTCCAGGAAGATAAGAGAACATTAGCCAAAGACCAGGGTCAGGATAAGCTTTTCAAGTTGCTGGTTAAGACGGCCTCAGACATCAAGAGACCAAAGATTGAACAGTGCAAACGTGTGCCTGGCTTACTTCTCAGTCTTGCTCATTCTGGGGGAGGTGGGATATGGTTCCCAGAGAACATTTGTGTCTTGTGATTTCCAGGTCAATTTTTTTAAAAACTGGAAGAGCAAATGATTACGCTAACATAATTTCTAGAGCAGTTGGGAATAGTTACTGAAAACATAGCAAATTAAGAATTTGGTTGTTGACGATGTTCTAAAACAGGCATTTTTAGTTTATAGGTACTCTTCCCAAAACATAGATTTAAAGCATGTTTGTTGGGGCACCTGGGTGGCTCAGTCTTTAAGCGTCTGCCTTCAGCTCAGGTCATGATCCCAGGGTCCTGGGATCGAGCCCCGCATAGGGCTTCCTGCTCAGCGGGAAGCCTGCTTCTCCCTCTCCCACTCCCCCTGGTTGGGTTCCCTCTCTCGCTGTGTCTCTCTCTGTCAAATAAATAAAATCTTTAAAAATATATATATATATTTAAAGCATGTTTGTTTTATAAATTGCTGGAGTCTATCCATAATGTTACTTGTTAGGGTGTAGAATTCAGTGTGAGGTTTATGACATCCAAGGGAGTTTGTTAGCAAAACGCCAGAAGAACTGTTTCAACTATAATCTGAGTCCTAAAACATGGCCCCTAGGGTGTTGTATAAGAGGGCTTCCCAGCTAGAGGTGCAGAGTGGCCAGTCTAGAACTCAGAGAAGCTCTTTGGAGATCATGGGTGTAGGCACTTTTGGAAAATATTTTAGTGAGAGGGTGAGTTTATTACTTGTAACAATAACACAAACATTTGATAAGATCTCTTTTGAGACATTATTATTATTATCTGCACCTATAAGATTAAAGTTCATGTCTCGGGAAAAGAGAGTGAGTGCTCTGGGTTTTGGCAGAGTTCCCACATGAAATCTATTTCTCTGGAATATTTTTAGGCTGTTGACTAATGTAGCACATCCAACATGGTAGGATAGCTCAATAGTGTGAATGGCTTGGCTGAGTGCTTTGGGAGTTATTCACACATTTTTAAGGTGATAATAGGGCCAGAGGAGGTTACTTTGCCCTGTGGATGTTGACATTGTCAGGATGGCTGTGACGGGCTACCATAAAAATTTGAGCCCTGTTTGAAGAAAAACAAAAAATTGTTTTAATCAATTCAACAGATGTTTTCTGAGAAAAGCACCCAGCGCTTTTCTGGAATGGGAGTGGGGTTGGGGCAACCAAAGAAATGGAAAGGACAGAGACCTTGTTCTCAAAGATTAAGTCCAGTTGGGGAGATGGGACAAGTTCAGAACACAGTTAAGAAGCAATATTCAATAATCATAACAGCTCCAGTCGTTGGGCACTCTCCGCGTGCACGGTGTTGACTTGAGTACCTCACATGAGTTATCTCATTTACCTCTCAGGGCAAATCTGTAAGTCACTGTCATCCCCATTTTGTACATGAGACTTGGATGTTTGGTAGCCTGCCAGGGCCTCTCAAGTAGCAAGTGCCATAGCTGGGATCCCAGTGCACATTGCCTGTGCTGGAAATACCCCACTGCATGCCTCTCTGTGTGAACGATAATTAACTGACAAATAGGAACCACTAGGGCAATGAGCAAAAGCTGCGTTGGAAGGGAAGGATCAAATGTAGGGTCAAGTGGAGAGCTCTGGAAAGGCTAGACCTCAGACTTGGGTACGATTTGGATAGGCAGAGGGGAGCTGGAGAAGATCCAGGTGGGAAGGGTGCCAGAAGCTACAGCAGAGAGCGAAGGGTCCTTAGAATCAGACGTTAAGTGAGTGTCGCCCGTTTAAAAACTGCTTCCACGCCTGTCATCCTGTGGTTTTTACTGTATTCCTGTAAGGTCACTGGGGCAGATGTCCTTATTCCCATTACCTAGAGGACAGAACTGAGGCTCAGAGTAAAGCAACTTGCTCATAAATAGTGGAACCTGGAGTAGACCCATGGCTCCTGTCCAGAGATCTTTCCCCTCTACCATGTCGGGCCAGACAGTTCAAGGATCATCAGGAGACCTTACCTGGTATAGCAAGGCACTTTTGGAAAATATTTTAGTGAGATGGTGAGTTTATTACTTGTAACAGTAACACAAACATTTGATAAGATCTCTTTTGAGACATTGGGTTTTGTTTTAGATTTACTGTCATTATATATAAATTTGGAACATGTCTGATTTTCAGGTGTTCGGTCTCACTCGTTTATTCACTCGACAAATATTTATTGAGCTCCAATTACATGCCAGGCCCTGGCCCTGTTCTAGTTCCTTTTGATCCTCAGTTCTGTTACACAACTTTCAGAAGACAAAGCACAGCATATCATAGCCATGCCAGTTGAGCGGGGTCGAGATGTCTGAATTTTGAAATCTTCTTCAGTGGCTTTGCTGATGACAGCTGCCCCCACCAGGGTCCCCAGAGTCTCCTCAAAGATGACACACTCAGATAATCCCTACCCACTTTTCCAGGCTAGGGAGTCAGCCTCTCACGGCAATGTAAGTCTCCTTCCCGGAGAAGTGGGCAGGTGCATGTGTTAAATGGGGGTGCTCTTTACCTAGAGTCAGGCGGCCTGGGTCCCGCCTGCTTCCTGTTTCCTCCCAAGAGGGAAGGGGCCCCGATGTGTCACCTCACGTGTGGCTGGAGTTCCATGAGTGAGAAGCACCCTCAAATAACATGAAGGTCCAAGTGGGCCTGAGTGTTTCTTGGGGTTAGAAACATGGCCAGTAATGGTAGGTATCATTTTGGGAGAGCTGGCTGTGTGCCAGGCTCTATGGTAAGAACTTTGCCTGTTATCCCAGGTGACACGTCCCACCTCTGCCTCCCCACCTCTGCAGGCGTCTTGCAGCTTTTAGGGTGTCCTCGTCCCCATGGAAAAACCTCTGGTCTGAACGGTTTCTAAGGTTTCCTACAGCACTAAAAGTAGGCCTGCTCATCCTCTAGGTCCACAAATGGCTTCCAAAACAATTGCAAGCAAAGTCAAGGTTGAGAGAGACTGTTGAACACTGATGGCTTCCTTGAATAGAAGCGCACGTGAAAATATGCTTCTGTAGCTGT